TTAGGAAAAATCCAGCTTTGTACGCCGAACTTGCGCGAGGCCAGAGTCCCAAGGTACCAATTTTAATTTTATCTGCCTAATTATTAATTTGCCTTTCATTTCAAATATATATGAAAGTATAATATTTTATTAGGATTTTTTATATATATATATTTTAGAGTAGTAATGCCAGCAAATTAATTTTTATGTCGACTCCACACAGTATATGGTGTTTGCGTGCTCGGACTCGCGCGTGTGCCCTTCACACGTGCTGGACTTCCAACCGGGAGAGGCTTTCGTGGTCCGCAACATTGCTAACATGGTCCCTGCATATGATAAGGTCTTCATAGTGAAATAATTTTAATAATGGTCTTAATTTTGAAATATTAATTAATTGATTTTGTTAATTTATCACAATTAATGAATGGTAAATTAGATGATTCGAAATGATTTGTGGTGTGAAACAGACCAAACACTGTGGAGATGGGGCTGCCATTGAGTATGCAGTTCTGCACCTCAAGGTGAAACAGACCAAATATCCCTTTTTAGGCTAATTATTGTTTCTTATATTAGTTTTTAGTGTCTGTTCGGTAAAACTAAGCAAACTGATAGCTTATAAATGATATTCGAGCTAATAACTTATAGCTTATGACTTATATCTGAAAAACTAGCTTATATGATAAAAGTGTATGGTAAAAGTAGCGAAGAAGCTAGCTGAAATAAATATTCCAATGGACTTATTTGAAAAACTATCAAACAAAGCTTATGCTCGAGCTTTTAAAAAATTCTTCCTATCAAACCAAACTTATTTGAATACAAAAAGTTTATAACCTAATTAAATATGTTATAAGCTAGTTTATATGCTTACCAAACACAATCTAACTATTTCGAAATGTTTTTGTGAAAATTTGAATAAAATGAAATAAAATAAAAAAACATGAATATGGCAATTGGGCAGGTGCAAGAAATTGTGGTGATTGGGCACAGTGCTTGTGGAGGAATAAAGGGTCTCATGTCCTTCCAATTAGATGGCTCTTCATCCACGTAAGCCGTCTATCTGGCTAAATTCTGTGTCAATATTTTTTCATAAATTTCTAATGTGTACCAACTTGGCCGTTGGGTGAGTCGAATCGTTATACTTTTGTAACAAAAAACGCATCTTTATATTATAAATTGTCATACTTTGTTGTATTTTAGAGTAACTAGTAAAGTGCACGTGCAATGCACGTGGTGACAAATATTTTTGGCCGATAAGATAAATCAATTAATTTATTAAATATATAATTGCAAGAACAAAATGAAATATAGAACAAATAAACTCTTAATATAAATTTTTTGTTAAAAACAACATAATGATGTCGTAACATAAAAGGATTTAAATAACATGTTACAAACTCAAACAAAAATATATAAGAAAATAACTCCCTAATAATAATAATAATAATAATAATAATAATAATAATAATAATAATAATAAAAAATAAGGATCTAATGTATATTATAGATGCATGAGTTATTTATCTATTTATAATGTTCGAGAGTCATTTTTTTTTCATTTTAGTTTTGAGTTCTCATAAGAAACATTCATACTCATTGGAGTCCAATACATCAATAGCATTGCAAAATTATTCTTAATTAATTAATAAAACGTCTACTTTATTCAACACTTATAAATACTTTAGCCAAACATATAGTCAAACTTCATAATTGAACGATCATTATAAGATATTTCAACCAACATTTCATAATTATCTATGTGAAATAACCAACCGTGTCACTGAAATTCGTGCTTTTTTTTATCATTGTATAAACTACTACATTACTCTCTCTCTTTCTCTTTCTCTCTCCCCATATAGACAAATTGGTACCTATCATATAAGGTGTGAACGAATTTTATTTCTAAATAAAAGTTGATTTTTCAAAATCATGTACTTCTTCGAAAAGATGCTAAACTATTTTCATTATCATCATATTACATGAAGTACATACTCTAAAGTAATTGCGCATATTCTCGAGCACAATACACAATTAAGATTGTAAATGTTCCTATTAAAAAGTGACAACTTACTCAAACATTCAAAAACATTTTGATCAGAATCGAACATTCTCTTTTTAGTGTTATTTATTTAGAAGATTGACAAACTACATAACCTATTGTTTGCAAATCATTAACTATTTTGGTTGTTGCAATGATTTCAAAGTTATTTGTCTTAATACTTTTCCAATCAATCGAATTTGTAATATTGAGAAGCATATCACTTTGTCAAAATATTTCAGATGAGAATAATTTGAATTATATTATATTAT